CTGGGCCACTCTAGGACATCCACAGAGCTGTCCCTAAGCCATTCCTGTGTTGTCTTGGCTGTGTGCTTAGGATCATTGTCATGCTTGGCCCAGTCTGAGGTCCTGAGCACTGTGGAATAGGTGGTTTTCATTGAGGAGATCTCCGTACTTTGCTCCATTCAGCTTTCCCTCAACCCTGACTAGTCTCCCAGTCCCTACTGCTGAAAAACACCCCCACAGCATGATGCTGCCACCACCATGCTTCACTCTTCAGATGGTATTGGGCAGGTGATGAGCGGTGCCTGGTTTCCTCCAGACATAACGTTTAGAATTGAGGCCAAACAGTTCAATCTTGGTTTCATCAGACCAGAGAATCTTGTTCCTCACAGTCTGAGAATCCTTCAGATGCTTTTTTGCAAACTCCAAGTGGGCTTTCATGTGTTTCGTACTGAGGAGAGGCTCCCATCTAGCCACTCTGCCAGAAAGCCCAGATCGGTGGAGGGCTGCAGTGATGGTTGTCCTTCTGGAACTTTGTCCCATCTCCACACAGGATCTCTGGAGCTCAGTCAGAGTGACCATCAGGTTCTCGGTCACTTCTCTTACTATGGTTCTTCTCCCCTGATTGCTCAGTTTGGCCAGGTAACCAGCTCTTGGAAGAGTCCTGGTTGTGCCAGACTTCTTCCGTTTGAGAAGTATGGAAGCCACCATGCCCTTGGGAACCTTCAGTGCAGCAGAAATGTTTTTGTAGCCTTCCCTAGATCTGTGCCTTGCAGTAATACTGTCTCTGAGCTCTGCAGGCAGTTCCTTTGACCTCATGGCTTTTGCTCTGGTACAGCCTGCATTGTCAGCTGGGAGGCCTTCTATAGAGAGGCATGTGCCTTTCCATATCATGTCCAATCAATTTAGTTTACCACAGGTGGACTCCAATCAAGGTGTAGAAACGGCTCAGCCACAATCAAGAGAAATGGGAGGCACCTGAGCTAATTTTCAAGTGTTGTCGCAAAGGGTCTGAATACTTATGCCAATGTGATATTTCAGTTTTTCCTTTTTCATACATTTG